TTTGCGCCTCTCTTTTCGTTTTTTTTTTTTTAATTTTTTTATCTTATCACCTACAAACCAAAAAAAAAAAAAAAGAAAATTAGTAAAAAAAAAAAAAAAAAAAAATTACCTGGTCCAAATTTTTACACTAGTCTTGCATTCTATTTAAAAATTCAAACGACAGTTCAAAAAGAACTGTCCTTGAGTCATGTTATGTCAGAGTACCCTGAATTGGACGGCCATCTAGCTTGAGAATATATGATCAATATATGTAATACGTTAACCTTATCGTAAGCAAGTTAACCGGCTTTAGAATTCTAAAGCTGGGTGACAGAATCTGAATCAAGCGAATTCCAATTCGGAGTACGTACGTACGACATATCGATATTTAAAAAGATAAAGGTAGTATCGGCATTTTGGGTGAGTGGCGCAGAGGTCATAGGCATGCCCAATATTCAGATAGGCACGTAATCTATATATATTCCGAATCGAAAATAAAATATGGATAGAAACCAAGCAAATTGTTTCTAAGTAAATTTTTTTTAAACTTTAGATTTTGCTTGGTTTCTACGTATTGACTACCCCATATATAATGTAAGTATTCCGAAAGGTTATTTTATAGTAGATGATAACTAACCAATCCAATTAAGTATATCTATCATGTGGTTTAATGGCATCCCGGGGTGGCATAGTTGGTGGCATCCTGGCACGAACTTAAGCCATATGGCACGCAAGATGTTTAGCCGTGCCACTCACCTTACCAGAACTCTAATTACTGAATATGTACGTACGTACGTACGTACGTATAAAATTTTTATTAATCTATATATATATATATATATATATATATAGTACGTATTAATGAAATCTTAACAATTTTTTAGCTAATTATTGTTTTAGATAATGTTACTAGGTACGACTGTATTACATACAATGCCAGTTTTTGAGAGGAGCACAAAATGCATAAAGAACGTATGTATCTAGCGCTAGTCCTTTTTAAAAAAAACATTGCAATATAACGATAACATCAATATAACTGTAATGAAACAATTTTATGAAATTCATATCTAGATCTTTGTTATAAAAAAGTATAAAGAGGTTTTAAGTAGCTTAATTCATAAATTATGATATAAAATATAATTCATAGTGAACTAAAATAATTTATATCTGATATGTAATCTATAAATCCATATTTAATAAATATTGATCCATATACGCACGTATTCAATTCATCAATTCAATATAATTATTACTATGTATGCATATTAAGGAAAACTAAGATTCGTTGAAGTGTTACACATACGTACGTATGTACCAATTTTGAAAATATAAAACTTACAGGGTGTTTTGCTAAAACTGAAAGATTCTGGTCATTCAATCGAGGAAATTCTCGTCTTTTTCATTGTTTACAATACCTATTCGAATAAAACAAAGAGATTAAAAACGAATTAGTGATAAATAAGATATCCCTGAAGGCTTTGTTTGATGGGCTATTTGCATGCATTTAACTTATTGTATGCACACTAATCGCTAATTGATTGTTTGTAGTCATTTCAACCCATCATTTTTTTAGACATGAAATCGTGGTTAATGATTGACCAACGGTTCTAATATTAATAGATAAATTCATTATCGTTATTCAGGTGAAAGAATAAAGTGATCGTCTTTCCACTCGAAAAAAAAACATGATTTTTTTCCGATGTTAAACAAATTCTGAATCGTGATAAAAACAGTTTTGCATGTACATAAACACTAATAGCCTTTGCTCCTAAATAGATGATTAAAAGTGTAACATACATACATACATACTTGATTAGTTATTAGTTAGGTGATAATATTAAATATAAGTTATAATATAAAATAATAATTTTAATTTTAATAACAATTAAAATAATTAAGGATAATAAGCCTTCGAGCGATGCCTCCTTTTCATTATGCATATATGTATACGTATAAAAAACCTATAACTTACTTATAACATACTTATACGTAACATACTTACGTATAACATACAGTACTTATAACATACTTATAACATACTTATAATATACTTATAATATACTTATAATATACTTATTAATGTATGTACGTGCCTCGTAAAAACGATTAAATGTTCTCTTAATGATCCATCTCCATATTGGTTTTTCTTTGATAAAATTATATTAGTTTATACGTATACTGATAAATTTCCGAAATTGTCGTAATTGAAAGTATTCGAGATACGTTAATTTTTAATTTTTAGTTTCTCGTGGGATTAAAGTATCCAACTTATTTATATGTTACCATATAAAAAAGTATTGTTGATAACTTGATTTGTACTTATAACGGGTCAAAGCCGTTGTGGCGGTAATACTTTACTACGGCAAAATAGAATTATACCAAATCTCTATTTATAGATTTTACTCGTCGATCAGCATTTGGCACCGCAGCTAGCTGCTAATGAATGTTATCCATATTTTTGTTTTCTTGTTTCAACTTGCCATCGGTTCTATAATAAGTAAAGGTGACAAAGAGGTATTTTCTTCCTTACCCTATCCTACCCACCTCTATTCTCCATCCACTCTCTTCTTCATACAAGAAAGCTCTATCACCGATCGTTAAGTCTTTTTATCTAGTGGCCTTTGGAACTTTAAGCATTCTGAGTTACCATCATGACTCAACGTCCCGTGTCTGAGCAATTTAATCTTCAACAAAAGCCGGGATCTAATCCACAATACCGCCAGTCGGCAGACTTATCTCACCTAAGTCAACAACCGACAAATAATAGAAGCTCCCGTCCAACCTCCGAAATATTCTCCGCAAATAACCATAATACATATCAATCACCTGAAGGTAAATATAATCTATTCTATAAAATTCTTTTTACCTTAGAATTCTTGTTTATTGCGTTCGTTTGCGCTAATCCTCTTAAAGGCTTTACATTTTTATGTTGGATTTTGTTTATTTTATCTTATTTAGTTTTTTTATTTTATTTTATTTTATTTTATTTTACTTTATTTTACTTTATTTTATTTTATTTCATTTCTTTTTTTTTTTTTTTGTAAAAAGTATATAAACGTACTCAATCATTATTAAAAAATCCAGCTGAAGCCATTGATAAATGGTTTGAAGATCTTCAACACTATGAACAAACTCTTGAAGAAATGGCTACCGCTAGTTTGGATCAAAATTTTAAAGAAGAACTTGGTGCCATCGAACAATGGTTTCGAGTGTTATCTGAAGCAGAACGAACTGCCGCTCTATATAGCTTACTACACCATTCAACTCAAGTACAAATAAGGTTCTTCATAACTGTTTTACAACAAATGGCAAGAAATGATCCGATGGGTGCTCTCTTGTCACCTGCGAATCCCGAGAAAGGTTCGTTGGGTAATTTATTTGACCTAATTTTTTTTTGTATTATTTATTTCTTATGTTTCATTATGATTTATCATGATTTAATTTTACCTAATCATTATATATACTCCCTTTTTTATTTTATTTTATTTTATTAGATTTGATGCAAGCTCAACTGGCAGGTGCTATGGCTAAAGCTGAAGTTGAAGCCAAACTTGCTGGTATGGCCCTTAAATCTCCTACAAGTCCGACTTATGCACGTCGTTTATATGATCGACATCCTGGCGTTGACTTCTTATCCCCTGAAGCTGCTATTTATACCGATCCTGCTGCTGCTCTTGCTCAGCAAAGAGCTCGTCTCCAAGCTGGCAGTCGTGGTACTTCTTTGTATTCTTCTCGTCCAAAATCTATGGTAGTAGAAAATGATCAAACTGTTTGGACTCCAGGTACTCCAGGTTCTGCCTCTGGTTCAAATAATAATAATAATAATAATAAAGATAGAACAAGTAATGGTCGACCAAAGTCGGCTGATTTAAGTGCTCTTCCTTGGTCTCCTGCTGGTTATTCTATGCGTTCTCCTCGGTCTGGTAATGCTTTTGATGGCGAGTTATCCCCTCTTGTCGGTGGAAGTTGGGCTAGTATGGTATCAACACCTGTGGTTCCGATGTTTGCTGAAAAACCTAAACAAACTACTGATGTGGATATGGTTAATAAGAAATTATCAAATTGGAGCGTAAGCAATAATTCTGGAAATCGTGTTGTGTTGGAAAGTGATGTCAAAAAATTCCGTCGGAATCATGGAAAATCTAGTTCCGGTGTTCCTGCCACTGTTCAAGAAGAAAAATTTAATTCAAATCAAACAAATATCGTTTTATCTATGTACGACACTGATGGAAATAATATCCGCTCACCTCAACATTCTCCTATTCCGAGCACTAAATCTATTTCCAGGCAAAATTCGCGTCCTACTTCTCCTAATCCTAATCCTCCAGGATTGTATCCTGCTCATTCTAATTGGAATCAAAATAGTGGTGGTGGTAAAAATACTCATCTAACTCCACCTAATGTTGGGCATTATAGTGAAGAGAATGGCGAAGTGGTTGGATATCACAGTGATCATAGTGATGCTTCTCATAATAATAATAATAATAATCCTTCAAAAGGTCATGGTAAAAATAAAAAGAAACAAAATGATGATACCGTTGACTTCAACTTATTGCAAGGTTTTTTATTAATTTTACCGTTCATTATTATTATATAACTTTCCCGAATATTGTCTTAATTTTGCGTATTTTTTATTAGATATTCCTGCTTGGTTACGTAGTCTTCGTTTACACAAGTATACTCCCGTATTTGAAGGAATGATATGGCAAGATATTATTGAATTAGATGATGCATCGCTAGAACAAAAAGGTGTTGCTGCACTCGGTGCTAGACGCAAAATGCTTAAAGAATTTGATAAGGTTAAGGTTGCCATGGTAAGTACTTGTCTAACGACATTATTAATTTGAATTAAACAAATGACTTATATTACATTCCTATAGCAACAGGTCGAAAAAGGAACATGATTGGTTAATATTATATAATTATACAAATGGGATATTATATTGGTTATACCAATTTGTATTTTGTTTTATTTTTTATTTTTTTTTATTTTTTTTTTGTTTTACTTATTTACATAAACATTTCATGAGTTGAATGAATTCAACCTTTTTTTTTATTGTATTATTGCAGAAGGTTTTCGAATGCCGGGCGTATTCTGCTATACTGTTATTTTTTTTTCTTGTGAATAGTTTTATCTATATTTCCTTCTTTTCACTCCCCAAAAAAAAATTTTTTAAAAAAGTAAATCCTGTACATTTAGACCTTTTAAAGGACAGGATCCTTTTACAGACAGTTAATTTTAATAGCTTTCTAAAAAAATATGTAAGATTTTGGGGACAGGTGCTCCACCATTTATCATTTTATTATTATTACAGTGGCGATCAAAATTAATGGAGCAGAAAAAATTTTTATTAGATCGCATTATTTCGTGCAATTCTAGACGTATCTTTTTTATCTTTTTTCTTTTAATTTGTTCGTAAATAGTATATTTAATATTAAAATCTTAATTGTTTTATCAATGCAAAAATAATCACGCGTGTATTACGAAACACGTGATGCATTACTTTTGCTTGTTTTTTGACGGAGATCGGATGGCGTTTCGTGTACTACATAAATACAATAAATACGTAAAATTTGTTTAAAATTTTCTGAAAACCAAGCTTTAGAAGAAAAGAAATATCATCTTAGCTTTGACTTTTGCTTGTGTTGCAAAAGAAATATAAATATTTTTTGTCGGGATGATGCTGGGAATTTGGTGGTCTTAATATAAAAATATAAACTCTACTAAAGTTCACATATACTCTTATTATAACTCTAACCCTAAATTCTAACCTAACTCTTAAAAAAAGTTAAAAAAAATAGCACAAAAAGTTTTATATTAAAGTAATTTAAATTCTTAGCATTATCCCGACATTTTTTATTTTTTATAAAACTAAGATTTAAACTATTAAAGTATTAGATTAATAACATACCGTGGGTAAATCAATACTCATGGTTGAAACAACCTCTACTATTATTATTCAATTATTCTATTTAAATATATAGTTTTTTATAATCTTGTATATTCTTATACAATATTGTAACTATAGAGATTTAAACTATTTTATCTATAATTTAAACTTACAGTATTTAAATTTATCAAAGTTGTTTATATTCGATTTAAATTATATATTTGAATTTTGTTTTTTAACTATATAGTTATATTTCTAGAATTTTACATTTCTATTATAGCTATTGCTAATCTAACCAAACAAGAGATTTACTCCTGGCTTTTGCCCAGATGCGATCTGCCTCAGTAGTTCTGAATCCTTAACTTACTAAGAACTTATTTTCTTTTGATCATTAGCTGGCAGCTACTTGTCTTGTTAGTACTACCTAATTATAATTATATTTTACAATGTAATTGCATTTTGGCCGTGGCCAGTACTTTTAAACAATGCAAAACATCGAATCACTAATCTTAAAATAAGAATGTTACATTGTGTATTTTCTATTCTATAAATTCTACAAATTCTACTGTTACTTTATCTTTTTGTAATCTTCTATAGTTATTATTATTTATCTTCTCATATTTTTTTTTTTCTTCCTCTAGGTAGTTTGCTTTAGCATTTCAATTTTTTGTTTTCTCTTTTCTTTTTGTGTTTTTTTCAATTTCTGAACTTCATTTTATTCTTCTTACTATTGATAGTATTTTCTATATAGATGTTTTCTAGAAGTGTTTTTTTATAAATCATTTTTCCTTCTAGTTTTTCTCTTAATTTTTTTACTTCTAGATCTTGATTAATCCATCTAAATCTTCATTTTTTTTTAAAGACTGAGGCCTTGATTTTCTTTTAAAAACCTTCTCTTAAATTTTTGTATATTTCTTTTAGTTTTCAACTACTTCTAAAATCTTTTCTGTTGTTTTGAGTATAGTTTCTTTCTTTTTTCTTTTTTAATTCTTGAATTCTATTTTCTTTTTTGCTATTATATCTTATAAATTTAATTTTATTCTAAAAATCTTCTTTTGCATTTTGGTATACTTTTTTTGATTTTAAATGCTTTTATTAAAAAAATTTTTTTTTTCCTTTTTTAGTTTTTAACTTCTGTTGTTTTTTTTACTGTTGTATACTATAAGAGGTTCTCTTTGTTTGCATTAATATCCGTTTAAGTTTTACTTCACCTATTCTATTTAAACACTAATTTTTTTCTTCTTTTTTTAGTTTCTAGTATTGTCTTGTGTACTCTTTAAGCCTGTTTAATATATAATTTCTATTGCCTATTCTATTATAATTTTTATAGATTTTTAATTTATATATTATTAATGTTTTTATCTTCTGCTAGCAATATTGTTGTAATTTTTGCTCTTGATTCTTCTACTATTTTGTTTAAAATTTTCTTTTCTATAAGACCTTCAATATTTCTTCCTATAATTTTTTGCTTTATTGTTTTTTTTTCTTCTTTAACTTCTTGTTGTCTTTGTTTTAAGATTTTTGCTTCTTGTTGAACTTATATCTTTTTTTTTGAATATTAATAGGAGATTATATCTCTGTCTTTATTGAAATTTAATTAAAATCTTTTATACAGAAAATAATTACAAATTTAAACTTTATATCTTATGATAGTAAGAAAAAAAACTTAAACTAGTTTATTTGTAGCCTAAACTAAGCATCTTCTTCTTTTTCTTTTTAAATTTTTTTTCTATATACTGTTTTATTGCAAATGTCTTGACAAATTTTTTAAAACATAGTATTAATAGTTGTAATACTATTTTATTATATTATTTTTATTAGTCTTTTCATTATTCATCTAGTTTTTTAATTTATCTTAATTTTAATTTTGTCTTTGCATATTTGACAACCAATCTTTCTTGTTATATGCAAACCATCTTATTTTTTCTTTAGAGTATAAGTTTCTTATCATTCCTGTTATTTTTTTTAATAAAATATGTTTAGCTAGATTAATCTCTAACTATACTACCTTTTGATATATTGTATTATTTTTTTCTAAATACAAGTTCTGTATATTTAATTTCTCTTGCTCTATATTATCTTAATTCTTTCTGAACTATATCTATTCATGCCTTAGCTTATTCTGCTATTGTAAATTTTTTTCTAAAATTTTCTATTGTTTTTTGCTTCATATAACTATTTGGTTGTCGTATTTGTATATTTTTATTATTTAAATTTGTTATATAGCTTTTAGTATGTTTTCTTTATTTATTCTTTATTTATATTATATATCTTGTATAATAAAAATTAATCTGCATTATAGGATCAAGGCCAATTCTTCAAATAATTTATAAAGAACAAAAATTATTGCCAATTTCTATATTTTTTTCTATATTTTTGTTACTGCTTTTTTTACTCTAGTCTTTAAAAAATTAAATATTATTTTTAGTTCTCTTTTTTCTTAGAGCTGCAAGACTTATTTCTTATTATTATTTATATATTTTTGTTAATATTTTGTTTTTATGATTTTGTATACAAAGGATCAGCAAAAAGAGTTTTATAAAAATTGTTGATAAAGTTTATAATACAGTATATTACTTTTACTATATAATTTATAATATATATTTTAATTAAGAGTAGTGTTATTTATTATCTAATTTTTTTTTATCAGAAGCTTATCTTTTCTCTCCTCTTATTATATATTTTGATCAGGTCTTTATATATAATTTTAAATTTTTTACTTTCTCACCCCCTCTAAAAAATTATCTGATTTTTGTTATGTCCCTAATATATATAAACTATAGTCTATCATATTTCAATAAAGATAGAGACATAGTCTTATCATTAATTTTAAAAAAAAAAAACTATAGTCTACTACTTGTAATTCATATTTTATTTATTTTAAAAATATTGTAATACTAGATTGAGGTTTTGTTTATAGTTTTTATTTTTTTAATTAAGTTTTTTTCTATTTTTATCTTTATTTAATATTAGTTTGTCTTGAATTCTATTACTTAATTTATTTTTTTTTATAAAATTCATTTTAAAATTTTTTTATATTGCCAAATGCTAATTATAGACAAACTTTTATTAAGTTTTTTAATTAATATATTCTTGGTTAGTAAGAGTATAGTTAATCATATATACAACTTTTAGTTGCTTATTTAAATAGTTTGCTTGAAAGTTTTATACTAATTGCTATATCTATAATTTAACTAGAAGATTATCTATTTAAACTCTCTAATATTTTCTATACTATACTACCCTAATAATTTAAATTATATATTTTATATTGCTATTATATAGAGACTACTTAGACTAATATTTCTTTATTATTATATCTTTTTATAATTAATCTTTTAGAATTTTACTATTGTGTTTAACTAATATAGATATAGTAGAAGATTTTTAAATTTTCTATACATTTTTAAATTAAAAATTATTACTAATTACACCTAATTTAAAATTAGTATTTGTAGTTTTTTATGTTTACTATATTAGTAATTATAGAATTCATCTAAGCTTTAGTATTTTTTTTAAGACTATTAGTATCTTTTATTTTTAATATATTCTAGCTAGTCTTTTTTAACTCCTAATTCTAATAGCCTTAATTGGTGATTTGCCAGTTATCTTTTTTTTTTTTAATATTAATGGTGAGACCATACCTCTATCTTTATTGAATATTTAATTGAGATTATTACATAAAGCACTAATCTACTTTTAAAATATTATAAGAAGAAT